CGTTCTGCCTGCCTGCCTTCGTTTCTGGTGGTTTCGGATCCTCCGAAACGCCCGTTCACCCCCGCCCCGCCCCGCCGCCCGCAGTTCAATCCAGTGCTCCGTTCTGCCTGCCTGCCTGCCTGCCTTGGTTTCTGGTAGTTTCGGAGCAGCTTCGGCTGAGAAAAAGAGGCGAATAGTTATTATTCTCAGCCGAAGCTGCTCCGAAACTACCAGAAACGAAGGCAGGCAGGCAGAACAGAGCACTGGATTGAACCTGGATTGATTGGCAGTGGGGTGGGGGTAAAAACGGGCGCTTCGGAGGAGCTGCACCGACAGGAAAAGCCACCCCCCCCCCCCGCTTCTTTGAAGCAGTTTCTTCCTGGGCTGGTGGAGGAGCGAGAGAGCGACTGAGAGAGGAATGAGGCGGGAGGAAACCGAAGCTGCTGAGCCAGAGAGCAGGACAAGCTTCCGTTGCTTCCTCCCTCCCCTTCTCTCATTTGTGTCCTTGATTCCCGATCCCAGCAGCATTCACCGAAGGCGAACAGAATGTCGTAAATAAAATGCCTGGGGCGCAACCGTCCTCATTACCCCCAGGATTTTCAGTTTTACCCCATTTGGGGTAATTTACCCGTTCCCCGACCACTGTACTAGATAACCTGTACCGCTTTTGCACAACAACTCCATCTTATGACATTGGAGGATTTGAAGCAAACCAGAGTACTATTTAAGAACTTTCCTGCCTTTATATTTTGTAAATAATTCAAGGTGGCACACAAAACTTCTTCCTTCCATGTAATTAGCTGATAGAACAATGTAAATATATTGAACTGATTTTTCCCCTTTCTCCCCAAAATTTGTAATCCCAGCCTAGTCAAAAAATTCTGGAAACTCCTCAACATTCAACATTGGCATAAAACAATTGCACTAGTTTGCAATTCACAGTAGCAATATACTAGAAAATGCACTATTAATTTGTTCAGTATGGCAAATGTAAAAATGTAAGCCAGCATAATTGAGTAGTATTTTGCAGATTCCAGTACTGCCAAAGCCAGTCTGTTTAAAATTTTGTTGGATTAAATAAATTTCACCTTAAAGTGTTTTTATATACTCACTTAAGATTAGATAACTATTTTTTCTTAGATTCTTAATTAAATTATTGCATTTGCTGTCCTTGAATTTATTATCACGTTTTGACATGAGAAACTGATCTGTAGTCCCTTAAAAGTGGTAGATTTAATAGCTACCGACTAGCCCAATCTCAGTCACTGCACCAACCTCGAAGGGTAAATTTTTATTTAAGGAGCAGTTGCTTCATCCCCAATCATTTTTCCATTCTATACCAGTAGCGCATCACAACAAAGTAGATTCAGCTCAGCAAATCCAATCTTCCCGGCCATGTTATTAGACAGAAAGTACAATTCAGCAAAATTAGTTAATAGTCCAGTAAGAAGCTGATAATGTAAACTACATAAAAGAAGTTTTGAGATTCTGCAGGCCAGTAATGACAGAAGTAAATGTACAAAAGCGATCAAAGCTTAAACTCTATTCATATTAGGCGTCTCCCCAGGGCAGCCTTGTGAGTTTAAGAGCAAATTATTAAAATGAGCACCAAGCCCTCAATTTTCTAAACCTTGGCCAACAAACTAATTCAGTGCCAATGCCAACCCATAAAAAGCGGGATGGCTCCTCCTTACACACCAGTCTCCTAAAGAGATGAGTTGGTCTCTGACTAGACCGAGGGGGGGGGGAGCTTAGCCCCTCCGCCGAGATGGACAAAATGGCGCAAAGCACGGTCTATTTTTAACGAGTTCTCTGGTTTCTTGAGGGGGGTGCCATCGTCTTTCTTTTTCCGTTCGACCACCCACATCAGACCGAGACTCCGAAAAATCTCTTGCCCAAGACCCTTTTCCTGGCGTACCAACCGTTTGAGAAAAAATCCGAAGCAACGATGTCTCTGCCAAACGTCTACCACTCAAAGCCCTCGGTACCGTCCGCTAGAAGGTGCCCACTCGTCGGAGTCTAATCTTTGTTTCGTCACACTTTTCGGGTCAGAAGAACGAAGGAGGCCAGCGGATCCGCGGACGAACCTGGCAAGGCGAGGCCTATCCGATCGTGCTTGAGGGCGCTCAATCGCAGCCGATTCTAAACGAATCGCGCGCGCACACGCGCCCGGGGCTCTTCGCCACGCGGCGAAACAACACGCCAAGTCTCGCGAACGAGCGGGAGCCACAACGGTCCTTTTTGAGGGCCACGTGATCAGGGGGGTTGGCCTCCGTGGCCCGAATATTTTTTTTCCGTATCTACATAGCACCAACGTTTAATGTAAACTAGTCAGGACTAGTTTACAAACACAAATGAAATGGGATACTTTCGGATACTTCTTTTAAGCTGCTTTTAACGAACAAGCCGACCGCTCACTTCTCAGTTTCCTTTCGTGAAAACGGCGCGACCTCTCGCGGAATAGGATCGGCCCTAAAAATATACAGGCTCGCGATGCATTGTGGAAAACGTAGTTCCAGAGGCGGCCATACTTGGCCGTCTTTGGGCTCGTAAAGGTAGCCAAGCTGGAACTCCACGAGCTGGTAGGCGATACTAGGAAGGCGAACAGACATCTCGGAAAGCGCCTTATTACTACTATATTAATTGTTATAGCCCTCTATTCCAGTTTACGAAATCCAGCAAAAACCATTTAAAAATACAACACAGGGAGGGAAAAAAAACCACAAGAGGGTCTTGGCAAGTACAATAACCTCTCTCAAGGGCAAACATTTATGGTTAGTCTCATGCAACATTACTGACTTGAGCCATACTAACAATAGATGAATTGGACCAGTTATGGCTCTTTCCCACTGCTATCCATTCTTCACTGAAATGGGAGGAAAAACTAGAAAGAGTTCTTGACTGACCACAATTGAGCCCAATTTTTTTGTTGCTAAGCAAGACAATTAAGTTAGCTTTGCTCCATTTACCACCTTCATTGCCACAGTTGTTCTCAGTGCGGAAGTTGTTAACAGTTGTTAAGTCAGTAACACAGTTAAGTGAATCTGGCTTCCCCATTGACTTTGCTTGTCACATGACCCCAGGACAGTGCAGCCATCATAAATAGAGGCCAATTGTCAAGTGCCCAAATATTTTATCAGGTTAATCATGAGAATGATTCAATTGTTTTAAGTGTAAAAAATTGTTAGAATTTTTTCAGTGCCATTGTAACTTTGAACGGTCACTAAACAGATAGCTTTAAGTCAGCATATTTGCTGCCCCACTTGCCAATCTCTAGCCTGCCACTTCCTCAACTTCCAATTACTACTGGTTGCTTGTTACTAGGATGATGGATGACAAAGTATCTTCAAGTTACTTAGAAAGTGGGTGAATAAAGAGAAATACTATTTTAACACTATCTTGCCCTCCTTATACTGGTCTATGACTATAATAAAGATGTAATTATACGTCTATAACAAATATTTAAGCACAATGGCTTAAGCTTTTTCACTCATGGGGTGGGAATAATGAAGGCCCTGTAGAAAATAAAGATACTGCCAGGACACATTTATGCCATGTGCCAGCAAATGTGGAAAAGCCCTATAATTTGTTCACGGGTTTATTTGATATCACTATGATCTCAGGGACATTCAGAAGCAGAATATTATTTAAAATTATCCTGAAAAGCGGAAATAAGAATATTTCAATTTCTTCCATTGTGAATTTGAATTCAGCAGCTAGGAAGAGGCTGAGGAATTGTAAAGTTGAGATCTATGAGGTGGGAGACAGATGTTAAGGGTATCATATTTTAGTACTGTACAGTGTTCCTCCTATTCCTTTTCTTTTGCATATTAATGATAAAGGTACACTGGTATAGACCTGCCCTTTCATTTTTATGTTAGTGTTCCCGCTATAAGATTAGTTCCTGGATTCATATGTCCTCTGTCAATTATTTCCATTCATTCTAAGTACTTAAGTAAACTTAAAACACTAATGCCATATTGTTTGCTATGGTAAACAACACCTACAAAACTCATACATGAGCTAAGAATGTTTTTTTAGAATAAGCCAAAAAATTGACAACTTGATGGCACATAATTGTCATCATTACATCAAAATAATAGGATTTCAGATAAAGCTTTTCTTTAACAATAGAGGTGTACGTTTTTAATACTAAAGATAAAAAAAATACATTGCCATAAGTGGCTTGATCCATAATGATAATTTACTTAAAATCCCAATTTTACTGATGTACAATTCCTTAAAAAGGAATTTTTAATTTTTAATCCTTTAATCTGATTTTCTTGGCTTCCCAAAAGGCTTGCATTTAAAAAAAAAGCAGGGTAGTTTTAAAAGGTATCTAACAATAAACATTTGAGAAATAATTTTGCAAATAATTTATTCATACAGTAAGAGAAATTGTTTGTACTTGTAATCATTGTTGCTTTCATGCAAATCTTTTAAATCAAATTAACCAAATATGCAAGCTTCATATTCTGTGGTGAACATCATATATATGTGTATGTATGTATGTATGTATGTATGTATGTATGTATGTATGTATGTATGCCATATTTAATCTACAAAGCTGCGTACATTATTTTTTGCCACACTTGTGTTTTGGAATAACTTTTGTTTCTGCTTTAGCTAGTTAACATACAAACATTTCAGCAGAGAAAATTAAACAATTTTATCTAAAAAAGCATGTAAGATTTCCAGTGGGAGAGCTGTCTTTATTTGTAATAGCAAGAGCAAAGAATCTTCAGGCACCCCTACAAACTGATAGAAAGATAGGGCATACATTTTTCAGGATCAATTTCATTAGATGTATGAATTGTTGTAAATTAAGAAGTGACTATACATATACAGTATAAATAAAATGATCAAACATTTATGAAAAATAACAATATGCTGTAAAAAGAATTTTGGATATATTTTTAAGAAAGTGTAAAAGCTGTAACTTATTCTTCAAAGCAATTTTTTGTTTTGTTTTACTCTATAACAGAATTTCATGTCTAAAATTCATACATCCAGTTTTGCAATGTTATTTCTTGGATTAATTCTTCAAAACACCAGGTACCTTAATATTACCTTTGAACATGACAAATGCGGAGGACAACCTGTGTGAGAACCTGTGCCTTATGTCATCTATCATAATTCTGTGAATTCTGGGAAATTATGAATAGATATATTTGAGTATATGACATGGATCACTGGAATACTTGAAATAGTTCTGCAGAGCTCTTGTCAGTTAAAAGTCTCCAAACTTAGATGCATTGTTTTTTTTTATTTGTCAAATTTATTTTTGCCCATTTCAAAGTTCAAGGTAACTGAGCAGCTCAGCTTTTAAACATTAGCTTAAAAATCAACTATTTGGTTATCTTATTTAATTTCTTCAGAATTGGGGTACAACAATTCACATTTCATAAATTATCAACAAAGGTCGCAGAATGCCTGTAAATTATCCACTACATTATATTCAGCCATTTCTTCACACAGAAAAGGATATGTTTTCATAAACAAGATGACACATGAGCTGGTATCTTACAGATTTCAATAGTAGCAACATTCACACAATGAAAAGTATATTTTGCCTTTTGAGAAATAGTAGCTACATAAGAAATAAATGAATTACACTGCACAACTGATGTGTTGTCCTAGGCTGTGAAGAAAGCAATCTGAATTAACAGGCTGAATTTCAAGCCTACCATTTAAGGATGCCGGTCAATTGGAAGAAATATCACAGATATTGGAAGACTCAATTTAAATATATCTGGAATAATAAATATAACAGCATTTAAGAAAAAAAAACAGGATTACATTTGAGAATTTGTTGAGGTTTCTCCTTGAGTTACATTTTCTGCTTGCACTGAGGGATTCAAAAATTGTCCTGATGCTCCAATATATAGGCGTGATCTCATTGGCCATTTCTAGAAGATAAAGATGCAAGATAGATTAATAATGCTTGCACAAATGCAGGAAACCAGCAGCTTTATTAGCAATTACATGAATTAATCCAGTTCATTTAAGGATACATTTATCAGTTATGGGACTATAAATTCTCCCATCCTTTATAACCTGCAATTTGCATTGGACCAATGCAAATAGTAAGCATGTGTAATGGTATGTGGGAATGCCCTTCGGAGACAGAGAAAAACCACAGCCAGAGAAACAGCTGGGGAAGAGGTAGCTGAGCTTGCAGCAAAAACGTGGGTATGACAAACTCAGAAGGGACACTCTCTAGGTTTTGGGGGCTGTAAAAACAATGGCAGAAAATATAATTTCAGATTTACAAGATCTGTTAAAGAAACTACAATAATAATTCAGCCAGTTCATCTGGTAAGTTTCTTGTCTGGATCGCCTTGCAAGACTGACATCATCAGAGGGAGAGCTATCTAGATTGGTATGAAGCAGGAAGTAGATCTTGATACCTCATTAGATATCTTTAGATTGAGCTCTCACGTTATTGTGCCGCATGTCTACAATTACTGACAGCTTATCTCTACAAAATATTTGCAAAGTGGTGAAAGAAGGTAAAAAATAACAATAGGCCAGCATATTTATTATATTTATTAGGTTTAAATCTTGTCCTACATTAGATATTATTGCTCATATACTCTGCTTGTAGAAGAAAATAACATGGGTGTTTTCATCTATGTGTGTTTGCACACCAGATTTTCTTAAAAACATGTTTTCATAAAAGTACACTACATCCAATATGAGATTAGTAAATACGTCTATAAATGTATATTTAGAAAAATGCAAAGTTTAATAGGATTTATGTAATCCTACACACACACATATACACACACACAAACACTTTGATTCTATGCTTAGTTATTTCAGATAAACATAACTAAATGGGATTTATTTTCTCATATACACATATCAGAAAATAAATCTCATTGATTTAGTTGTATTTATCTGAAATAACCAAGCACAGGATCAAAGTACTCATGTCACATGTATATACAACGAGCACAGGTTTCCAACAGTGAGATTTATTAAAATAGCAATAATTGTTGGTGCCATTTACTTCTCAATGCTATTAGCCAGACCTAATGTAAAATCATAAATTCCATTAATCTGTGAAGAAATGTGGACTGAGCTCCTCTGCTATTATAAACTAATTTCAAAAAATTAGAAAGCCACTAAATGATGGCAAAGAGATATAGAGAAATATTGCAATGCCATCCAGTTTTGTAGTTTTACTTGTTTATCTTGCCTGTGGCCTTGCCAAATGGAATAATCTGGTAGATGATATCTAAACAGAACTTCATATTGCAAGTAAAGTGGCATTGTGAAGAATACATTGTGAAAAATTTCTTTTTCAAGAACTTCTGTGACATGTCTCTAAAATAAATTATTTATAATATTTTTTAAAGGTTTACCTATGACATAATAGACAGCCTATTAAAAACATACAATTCAGAAACGTTCAGTAGTTAAATACATTGTAATGCAGAATCAACTGGATTGTGTTTATGGCAGGTCTGTTAGTCATGGTCAACATCTGGTTTCTTGACATTTATCTGAAAATGTTCCTGAGATGTCAATGCTGTTTCAATTATTTTAAAAATGTACTTTACTTTCCACATTATCATTTTTGCTGTATATACTCCTATGCTATAGCCAGAATGACTTTTTAAAAACAATTCAAAATATAATTATTTTTTTGCTAGCGGAAAAATGCGTAACTAATTATATATCAAGCCATCATTGACATTTCAGTAAAACTATTTTTTAAAAAGCGTATACAGGCTTATTCAAGATTACTGTTAGATAATGTTAGTCTTGGAAAGAAATAATGAAAGGTCCATTTAGTTTGTTTTAAGGTAATTCTTGATTACTAGGTCTTTAAGTAGTAATTTCCTGAATTAAGCTAAGTGTAATTTATTAAAGAAATTACTTATTAAAGAGCTAGTAGTAAGGGAAAGTCCTTTTGTAGTTTGAACTTGCAATATGATGGTTCATAAGGCAGTGGATTTTACATTGGGATAATTACTTCCCAATGGGATATATTTGGGCATATCCTGGGGGAAATGGGGCAATTTGTAATAACATATTTGCTAATTGAGTATCCAGTTTGGGATTGCCACTGTCAAAGTGCTTGTGTAAAACAACAGAATCTATTTGTGGTGGGAATAATGACATTATTTGAGACGAGAAAAAGGGATATCTGAATCAAGCAGTTTACAAGCCACTGTCATAAGGCATAAATTGCTTTGTAATAAATGGGAGTCACTTAAAACCTTGTCCCTGGTGTTGGGCATAATGGTTATGGTACACAGAGGTTTAATGTATCTATCTCAAGTGTCATATGGAATCACATCAATGAATTGTGGTTCAGTTGATTCCAATTGATTCTGCTGATTCTGTAATGCTAAAGCTTTCTTGTATAGACTAGTGTACTTGTATATTCGTACTGGTATGCTCTTTTGCCTGAAGATTTCTGCACAATGGAAAGGTTTTCAAATAATGCTATGATCGGACCTTCTAGGGAAAAAAGTATTACTTGGTTTGCCCCTGCTTACCTTAACAGGATGTAGGTAGCCATCCCCTCTCAAGGTTCCCAAGCCCTTGCCAGGTAATTCTTCTTCATCCTGCAAGCTGCGGGTGAGATGGGCAATGTAGGTGGTGGCTAGAAGCAGTACATCTAACTTGGAGAGCTTAGTGTCAGGTGGTACAGAGGGCAGAGTTCTCTGTAACTCCAAGAAGGCATGTCGTAGGGTCTGCACTCGGCTACGCTCTCGGGCCGCGTTGGCTGCTGCAGGTCTCCCCAAAGTGGCCCCACTCTGTGGCCCTAAGGAGTTAGTGTCAGATGTGGAGGGTGGCAGAGAGGCATTTGAGCTTGGAATATTGACTTTGATGTTCTCAGGTACATTTTTATAGTCCATTGGTAAGACAAAACCTGCAACCAACATGATGCAAATTCCTAGCTTATACCTTGGATTGTCACAACCACGTTTTCTTTTTTAGAACTATATTGCTATCTGATTTTTAAGAACTGTCTGTTACAATTTTCGGTATACTGCAATATATTATCTTAATGTGGTACCCCTGTGCCAGCAACCACTAACCTTGCAATTTTATTTTTAAGATAGAATTCAGCTGAAAAATCATCAGTATGTAGTTGTAACAACTGATTAACAATTCTAATGCATTCTCAGAAAATAATGACCATATTTAAACACTATATTAGGACATATTTTTAAGCATCTTAACTTGAAATATATTTGGTGCCAACATTTATGTTCTTTCAGAAGAAGTGAATCCCACTGAATGTGACATAATATCTAGCAGAAATGATTAGTGTTGAAATGTTAATAAAGTGTTCAGTTAATAAAGTATTAATAAATGTAAGAAGTCACATTGTGAACAACTCCTAATTACTTTATAGATATATAAAGTACATTTCTTTACAGTAATGTGGAAGTGATTTTCTTTCTGGATTTTTAGATATTTCTAAGCATTATTTTTTACTTCCCAGTAGTCCCCAAACTACAAACTGGGATTTTCTGATGGTTTTACAAGTAAATACTAAAGAGATTAAATCCCATCCATTTATTGGATGATTCTTTAAGATTAAATGCTTCCACCACACTAAAATAAACAAATAAATATACAAGAATATAAGCTTCAATTGTAAACTCATTTATTGAACTGCTTTCCTCTTTGGTATTGATACATGTTGGCTTTAAAAGATAAAGATTAAATAATTTGAAATATAATTTGAATTCTCTTAAAAATGTGTGCTTTTGCAGTCTGCAAACCACAAAGTACATTGAATCTAACTTGTATTTGCATTGTAAATCTTATATTTATTGAGGATTATATTCACCTGAACTGTGTCTTATAAATTATAATCTAGTCTCTATAGTTAACAATAGTTTCGTTAGCAAAACTAGCAAGCAACTAATAAAAGTACATTAAATTTATATGCTGCCCAACTTTGTTATTTTACTTTAATAAAAAGCTTTTTCTCAGTTACAGACTTTTTTCTATTCAACCAAAGATACTTTTCTAAAATTGGAAATTGTGCAATGGAGGAGACACAAAGGGGTAAAAAGAAGGTAGAATTGGAAATAACTGCTGCCTAAGAAGTTTTTTCTTGAGAACTCTAATTTTATTGCCTCAATTTCAGTTTCAAGTTTCTAAATTAAAATGGAACAATGGATTATTAAACAATAAATTATATTTAACATATACAAGGCAATCTTGGACATATATTTTTTCCTGAGTTAACATACATGATTGCCATAATAGGTTTTCAAATGTATCCAATTCTTTTTTGTTTTAAAATATTTATTAGCATAATTACCCATTAGTTCGGATTTTAAGTTTTAGTATTTAACATTTTGCTTATTAAAACTATAAATTAAAATTATTTTATAATGGGCTATTTTATTAGAAAAGATTATATAGAAGAAATACAATCCTCAGGTTTTCAATTAAAGCTGCATTTGTGCAGGTCAATGAATTTGTTGGATATTTAGGATTCATTGATACAGTATATGGTTTTATTTATTTAGTATTCGTTCATATACCAGGAAGCAAATATTTTGCTGTAGAACACTATTCTACACATTTATTTGAATTGTACATAGCTTTAAATATTTCTGGGGCTTATTTCCACATACACGTTTAACACATGAACAATCAGACTAAGTAGCCCCTATAACATTGGCATATCAATTCAAAACGTGAGACCAGCGGGGAAAATCCCACCGATTTGATAGCCATATTTAAGCTCACGCTACTTTTATTCACAGTCCTATTTCACTTAGAATTTATCGATGTTTTTTTTAAAAATTACGATTATATTTACATGCACACTAACCATGTAAGAACGGTCATTGGACCCACTTAAACCCACTGTACTTCTAAAGTAAATCAACAGAGCAAACCAAAACTCATATTAGCGCTCCTCGTTACAGATTCCGGAGGCTAAATAAATCCTTTAAAATGATTTGGATTGTCTTTTGCACCGGGGAGTTTTGCAACGCTTACGTAGCCTGTTCTCCGAGATTGCCTTGTTTGCATAATATTCTCTTATAAAGATATTGAATTAGAAACAATTCAAAGAGGAACAGCAGGATACGAGCGAATAAGTGGTGATTATTCGGAAAGAAAATTCAGGAAAATGAGGGATCCACACAAGACTTGGAATTCAAAGTGCTCTGAGGATCTTTAATTCTTCAAAGACATGACCTATCCTATCGTAAGCCTACTGCAAGATCGCACAACTGCGGCGTAAGGAGGTGTTGTATAGAATTAGGGGGCGGCCAAATTCGTGTATCTACCCAAAGAGTGCGAGGGAGCCCTGAGAGAGGATTAAAAAGTTGCCTCAGAAAGAACTTACTTGATCTCCTGGGGCCCCGATCAGGGAGACACGACGCCGCTGCTCTCCCCTTGCAAATCTAGTCCAGGACGCGTGCGGGGAAGCCCCGGGCTTTTATAAGCGTTGGGGAGCGCGCCCATCAGCGCTCGGCTTTTGCTGACGCCTCCCTCCCACCTTCGCGTCGCTCTCTGCCCTTCCTGGCCGGCTCTCTGGCCTTCGGGGAATCGAGGTTGCTGCGCGCGGGAGCCGGGACTGCCAAAACCGCAACGGGTGCGTCCCCATCTTCGTTCGCACTCCGTGCTCCGAGATCCACTTCGCGACAGGCGAGTCGGAACGACGACTTTACCAGGCTGCAGATGCCACGCAATTTTCCTGGCGTCGTGAAACTCCGCTGGTTTCCCATTTCCATCTGAGTGTCTCGGCTTCTCAGATAGGTTTATTAGTCTGGCCTTCACAGATCGCCCACTGCCCAGGTGGGCAAAAAGAAGAACCTCGCAGCATTTTACAAAAAGTGTGAAATATTAAGAACTCTTTCCTGTGCAACACGGATTAGAATGGGACAAGGTCACCCTAACCTTTCAGCCAACATAATTCACAACCTGTTATAAGATGGCCAGTAGAATAAGCAGGCACATAAGTCACTTCACATAACCTCCTTCTCTGTATTGAGAAACACTGGATTGTTTAAATATTAGTCACTATTTTTAAATTAAATGTATACATACTGAAATAAAAGTGTGCCATTGGGAAGGCCGTGCACCTTCCCACAAATGCAATGAGACTTCAAAGTCATAGATCTGTCATATTGAAGCCAGAGATCTCTGCTTTGTAAATCAAGACAGCTGTCCATCTAAAATATATGTTGGACTTCAAATCTCACAATCTGATCAGCGTCTATTCTGTTTGAAGATTATGAATGCTCACAGGATAGCAGCTCAGGAAAAGCTAAATTAAATGCACCTCTTTATGAATGGCATAACACATTTGTGAAAAGTTAGCTGCCTAATCATTTTCATTTCCTCTGAATATCAATAGAAAGGATGGAGATTTTGCTTCTCTCTCCCTCCAAAGATGAATATATGTGCAGAAAATAATTTGATTAGAATTCCAAATAGCTACTTGCCTTTGAAGACACAAAAATGCATTTACCAGAGGCTTGATAACATTGTACAATTGTAATTCATTGGATTTTCAGTAATCAAACTTAGATATTTTTCACACTATCTTGTTTAAGATGGAGAGCATATTGATTTTGCTATAATCCATGGATTAACACTCCCATTTATCCAACCATTAACTACATTTATTGAGCAGAATTTGTTTCTAACTGTAACTGCAATTATGAGTTGAAACAAAACTACAGAATCTGTGCTCCTGCTAGGTTGCCTGGTTGGGTGATGTAGTAGTGATTATTGCTGCAATCTAATAGCACCTTTAAACACATGAAAGACAAAGCAAAGCAGATCTCATTGTAGAATAAGGTAGTGGCAGCAGAAAGGATTTAGATTTATCAAGCATTGGATGAAATTAGCTTCCCCAAAAGTTTTGAAAATTTAGCATATGTTGTTCCACTTCACTTCTGGATTCAGAAAGCCCTTGGTACAGTGAAAACAATTGTGATGGGTCCCCTCAGGCAGGACTTGACAGCAGCAGCAACATACATTTTCAGGCACATTGCCAAGATTCAATGGTGCATGAAGGAGTGCCATTTCACAATCAACAGACAGCTAAATGAGTAGCTCCCCCCCAATCCCATACAAAGCCCCAGTATATCACACAATAGATAGAAAGCACATCATGAAGTATCTGAGAGGAAGACTCTAGATTTGATGTAACACTGAATGACTGATAAAAGTCTCTTCTATGAACTTTGCATTGGAACCTCTCTGGCAGGAACCAACACTTTGCATTACAATAGAAGGGATGTCAACACAATTGGGGAGGGAGCAAGGTATATAATTATGAGTCTATAAAATCTCTATCTAACACTTAAAGTAGCCTGCTAACCAACTTTAGTGTTACAATAAGGACTGGAAGAAGATGACTAGCTTCTTCGGCACAACAGGTAGCAGCATTAGCAAATATGGTAATCTTGGAAAAGCACCTTATTGGAATAGAAGTCTTCAGGAAATCCCTGACATAAAATGAAAACTAAAAAAATGCCAATGGCAAATCATGTTGATATTGTTGTCAAGATAATACTTAATGCTACCAATACTTTGCATACAATATTTTTTCTTCTCTGGATAAAACTTACATTGAAATTCCATATTGTAGTGCACGGGTGTCATGTTTTTTCCCTTTGCAGAGCTGGGGTGGGTGTGGCCTGCGCAGGACGCATCCGGCCCACGGGCCACCAGTTGCATAGTGTAATACAACTTCACAGAATTGGTATACAGGTGTCTATTTCATTCAAAAAATAAGGTTTCTTTAAAAAAATGATAAGGTACACATGTAGCATTATACCTCAAGTTATAAGTTGAATTAATAAATTAATTTGTATGGTTTTTATTATTTATTTCTATCCTGCCTTTATTATTTTTACAAATAAAACAAGGTGGCAAACATCTCCAAACCATCTTCTTCCTATTTTCCCCACAACAACAACCCTGTGAGGTGGGTTGTACTGACAAGAGTAATTGGCTCAAAGCCATCCTGCTTTCTGGCCTGGTCTTTAAGCACTAGACCAAACTGGTATTCCAAAAGGTAACCAAATCTATGAGTTAGATTATCTTTTTAAATCCTAGAGAAAATGCAGGTAATGGAAAACAATATAGAGCAGTGTTCTTAACCTGGGGCTCCCAGACCTTTTGGAGTTCATGGATACATTTCAGAGGTTCATGAACTTGGATATGAAAAATACCCTGTAATCTTTAGAAAAGGAAAATACTATACAGGTAGTCCTCAATTTATTACAATTGAGCCCAAAATTTCTGTTGCTAAATAAGACAGTTAAGTGAATTTTGTCCCATTTTATGATTTTTCTTGCCACGGTTGTTAAGTGAATCACTGCAGTTGTCAAGTTAGTAATATGGTTGTTAAATGAATCTGGATTCCCCTTTGATTTTGCTTGCCATCATCTCAAAGGTGATCATATGACCCCAGGACACTGCAACTGTCAAAAATTTGAGTTGGTTGCCAAGCATCTGAATTTTGATCACGTAAACATGGGGATGCTACAATGGTGGTATGAAAACAATTGTAAGTCGGGACTTCCGGTTTGAACGTCTTTGGTGACAGACCGAAGCAGCGACTGCGTGGTTTCGATCTGTGCTCGCCGCTGGAGCGCCCTGAGCCATCTGGTTTCAGTGCTAAGCCACCCCGTAGAGGTGGTGAAGAAGGGGGAGACTGCCTGCAGGGTTGAGGAGAGCCACATCTCACCTCCTCAGCTGGCCATTACTCCCTTTCCAGAAGGCGGTTGTAGCGGTAGTCAGAAATGGCCACCACAAAGAAGAACTCGACCGGAAAAGAATGTGCAGGAGGAAGATAAGAGAAAGTTTTGGTTGACCGGGTCAAACAGCAAAAGCAACAAATAAGGTACCCTGGAATTTAAACTATAAAAAAAACACTGTTCCCAAAGAAGATTTTTAAGCAGTGAAGGAGAGAGAAAAGGGAAAGGATTTCTTTTTTTTTTTCCCCTCCTTTTCCTATACTGACAGCTAAGAGACTTAAGCAAGAAATTGGAAAAAAATCCACTTTGACATTAATAGGCATTTAATGCTGAAAATAAAAAGTCAAAGGGATAATAAAGATTTCTGGATATTTAAAAGCTTTTGAAAACAGGAAAGGAGAGAAAAAGAATAAAAGGGCAGGATCTAGAAGGGAGGAGACTGCCTGGAATTAAAAAGAACTTACAGTAAAATCTCAGCAAGACTTCTAAAAGATACATCTTAATTGAAACATGGCAACAAAATAATAAAAACCCAGGAAGAGAAAGTGAAAAAAGAAATAAGAAGAAACAGCTCAGGAGTACTTGGATTACTTGGTGATTTCTGGATTCTTGGTTACTGCATTTGAATGACTAAAATCAATTGGGTGGTTGTTTAAAAGTGTCTAAAATGGCTCCACTCTTAGAAGAACTGAAAATAGAACTTAAAAAGTACAAAGAAGATGCACAAGAAGGGAGAGGTTCTTTTGGCTTCGTATTTCAGTTCTTAGAAATAGAGATTTGGAACTATGAGAAACAACAAGAAATGCCTGCAGAACAAGAAGATTGGGACAAAGAAGAAACCATCTTGAATGAACAAGTAATCTTAGGTGGAGGGGGGGGGAAGGAAAGGGGGGAAAGAGAACGGAAAGTTTAAGACTGGGAAAAATAACCCAAAAAAAGAATAGATTGAAAAATAAGTATAAAACCAGAAAGCAACAGAAGAGGGAAATGCAGAAGAGAGAATTAGAAGCAGAGAGACAAGGGGGTAAAAAGGGGAGGGAGAATAAGAGAGGGAAGAAAGAAAGGAAAAGAAATTATAATGGATAGAAACAAGATATATAGAGAAACAGGGCCTATTTAGAGATAATGGGTGAAAACCTAATTGAAAAAGGGATTCTTCAAAGGTACATAAGATAGTATTGTTATATTAGAAATAGAAATAATTTCAGAAAATATGAAACAATGTATGGTTAAAATGTTTGATAAAATAGTTATTGTAATTTAGTGGAATGTTTGTCAATAAATAAATGTAATAAAATGAATGCTTAACGATTTATAAAACATGTGAAGAGAAATAAGGGAAAAATTAATTATGGAGATTATCCGTGTCTTCAAGGAAGTATGATATTTAATTGAAAAGAAATGTTAAAGATGTTAAGACTTTAATGAATATTAATGATAGAACTGAATTGGAATGGAATGAGGGTTTTAATTACATATATTTATAATCCTTTTTTAAAGAATATATTATGTATTATAAGAATGTACCAAGCAGAATTCGATTGGAAGTTATGTATTATGTATTATATTGAATGTTACAACCTTAAGGTATATATTGAAGTTTAAATAAGAGTTGAATGGATAAAATTAAAAGATATAAAGGTGTCATACTCCAATTAGTAACTACAGGAGAAAATTTGTTTAATGAGAAAAGATAATA